CAGTACAACATCAAGATCCTGCGACGGTGGCGGGCCAGCATGGACCTGCAGGTGATCTGCTTGTATCGAAAGTTTCGCGCCAAAGTCAACTTTTCTGAAACTCCTGCTTTCCTATTATACCTTTTATATAGAGATAGATATATGAATTTATGTATTTCCTATTTTCCTGGAAACACTTATTGAATTTGTGGCTCTAGCCCAATAATTACTGCAAGTCTTAAGGGTTAGCACTGGTGAGCCTCTGAGGCTTGATATTTGCACCCGCGACGGTGGAAACTTGCAAATGGGTACTGCCTGATGTCATCGCTAAAGAGGGGTCAGCACGGCTCCTCCTTCAATGTAGAATTTTAAGGCGGGATCTGCTGACGATGGATGTGCTGAAACTTGGGTTGTGGCGGTGTCTCTTCCACGGCTGTTGCATTGGGTTCTCTTCCGCTACTTGTTCGGCTCTCCTCTCCGGGCAGGTTGTGCCGTGGCAATCCAAATCCAGTCATCGAGGTGGCCTTCCAGGCCGTTGCCGTGTAGGTCGCCTGCTCTTCCGGACTTGAACCGACAGAAGAGATGACCAAGGGGCGCCTTTTCTTGCCAAGTTGTGCAGTCAAGCTCTGTAAGGCTACGCTCGCTTTACTTCCTGTCGACATCTTGTGCATGTGCCGGGCTGAAGATCCAGTCCAGCCTTCACATGAGCCTTTCTGCATGTGGCTGCCTGATGCAGGCTGTGTTAGACCACATGCTCTGACATGCTAGTGTATAACAGGGACGCATGACCCAGATCCAGATGCCTTCGCTGGTAAACGTACAATGCTACACGAGACCCTCTAGCCATTGCAATGCAGCTGCACTTTTCTTGCCCACAGGCTTGCTCTTGCCCCTCGTTCCTGCTCTTGCCATGCATCGCGTGCTGAGTGCCTTGGCGGTTTTGTCAGTGGCTTCTGGAGTTGCTACAGACGACTGCGCCCTGCTTCAAGTTGATACACAGGGCCACTCCAAGGAAAGCAAAGAACGCTTGCAGACTTTGAGGAGATCGAAGATGAAGGGAAAGCATCAGGTGCTCATCCCGAAGCCCCTCGTTCATTCGAGTGGAGATGCAGAGCTTCATGTTACACCTGGCTTGCTAAGCATGCTGAGAGAAGTCTTTGCATCGGAAGGTCCAGAGGTCCTACACATCGTTGAAGCGCAGTTCCTGTCGCGCTTGCCAGGCTACCGGCGAGAAGAGGAGTTAGTTGAAACATCGATAGAGCTTCGGGAGACCTTCAAAGTGAGCTTCCATCACCCGATTGAACGTTGGAAGGGCCGGGAGTCGTGGCAGCCCATCCGCGAGAGGAATGAGAGTTATGGCCTCGTTGTCACCCCGCATGGCATAGGGATCGACACTCGTACTCCATGGGGTCTTGCCAATGCTATGTCGACTTTGTATCAACTCCTGGCAATCAAAATATCGGATGAAGGGGTTCGTATCACGATACCGGGCTGCCCACATGAAATCCAAGATCGACCAGCCTACGTACACCGGGGCTTCCTGTTGGACGTCTCGCGGCAATGGTATTCCATTCCTTGGATCAAAGGGCTGGTCAGTGTGCTTGCAGAGTTCAAGCTGAATGTCCTGCACCTGCATCTTACCGACACGGCTTCTTGGCCGCTCGAAGTGGATGGCTACCCTGAGGTTGCACGACACCTTGCTTACCGTGACAACAACGGGAAACCATTGACATACTCGCGTCATGATATCCGTGAGCTCGTCGAATTCGCACGTGTTCGAGGCGTGTCGATCATGCCAGAGATTGATGGGCCAATGCATGCACCTGCGCTGGCTTCAGGTGATCCCCTCCACTTGACAGTGGCTGCAACGGTAGAGTACTCTACACAACAGTTCGCAGTTGAACCGCCGCCAGGAACTTGGAACATCTCCGATGCTCCAGCGCTGAATTTCGTGCGGCGAGCGTTGCAGCAGGTAGAAGAGGATTTCTCGACTTCGCCTTTCTTGCATATTGGAGGAGACGAGCCCGTGGCTGCATCCCTTTGCACACTGCTCTCAGAGCCTGAAACAAAGAAGTGCCTGGATCAGTGCAAAGTCCCCTGGACAAAGGGTTGTGAGCCCGTGCCCGTGAAACCAATGGACACAAATCAGACTTACTGGTTCCCAGAGGTGTTAAACGCAAAGGTCCAAGACTACTTCGACTCCGTTGACCCTGCGCCCGCCAAAATTCCAAGGGCTGTCTGGTCAGGAGCCGTTTCGGACTGTGGCGTTCAATTGCCATGTACCCGTCTGAAGACAAAGTCGGCGCTGCAGTTGTGGGAATTCCCAACAGATGCATCCGGCCGGCCCATGTTGTCTGAACAAGACTGCGAGAAGTATGACCTCATACAAAGTGCCGCTACATATCCGGAAGGCGGTTCGCAATATGGCTGGCTGTACATGGACTGTGGTTCTGGCGCGAACTGGGCATCAATGTCGCCGAATTATTGGTGTCCTCGTGCTTCATGGGCAGCACTTTACTCACTGAATCTTACGCAAGGATATGGGCCAATCCACACCCCTGCCTGTCAAAATGCCTTCCTCGGCGGTGAGATGGCGCTGTGGTCTGAGATAGGAGGCATGGGCAATGCCATGAGCTTGATCTTTCCCCGTGCGGTCGCTTTTGCTGAACGGATGTGGAGCAATCCCAAAGGCTTGCAGGTGGAGGAAATGAAGGGTGGTACTCCTCCCGGCTGGTATTGGGAGGCACATCTGAGAGATGCCATGGAGAGGCTGAATGCTGTGGTCTCAAACTTGGAAATGCTTCACATAGGGGTGTCTCATTTGCAGCCCGAGTTCTGCAGGATCCATCCTGAGTTCTGCAATGCATACACTGCTTCCATTTATGCAGCCTGATCTGATGAGATATGGAAGCGGGCCAAAGGCCGCCCGCTCAACATACAATCCCTTGATCCTATTCCTATTCCTTATTCCATATCAGAGATAGATTCTACGCTCTTCCTTTTGTTCCTTCCCAGACCCCTGCTGCTAGGGCTACACCGGAGTTTAGCTACAAAGCTGAGCTTGCAGTCTTTTCGTGCAAGGGAGAGCTCACTCCGAGTACTTTCTCGTGTCCGTCCTAATCTTAACTCTGACCTGGCCCCCTACTAGTATGTCCGGCACAGCAAGTGCGAGGTGAGCTTCCCTTCATCCTGTAGGCACAGCTCCTCGAAACTACAGTAAATAGACCAGAGAGGCCCACCCAGGGTACCGCAGTTTGAACGTGCCGCCTTGCTTGTAGGGTCAACACGACCCTTTCGGATCTTGCCAACAGCGTCCCGCCCCTCGCCCCTTGACCCTCTTTGTCCAGCTGGGCGGTACGACCCCTTGCAGTCACTGCACTAGTCACTGCCGCCATCGTCCTCCCATAAGCTTCTGGAGATGTTGGATGTGCAGCTGTCGTGCCTTCCCCGGCTGTGGCGCGCACCAGCACAGAAAAAGGCAAGACTGCTGGCTGAGCATCCACACTCAGCCGTCGTTTGCAGAATCTCTTGCGATGTTAATACTCCGAGGTGAGCTGTGGACTGGCGCATGCAGAGGATGTCAGAAATCAGGCCAGTGCGCACTTAGCTACTCGTAGGGTGTTCAGCACCTGCCTGGTGTTGCCTGCTGGCAATACGCTTCCTCAAGCTTTCCCGATGGCACAGGCAGGTCGATCGCTTTTCTTTTTCGTCGACGCGGCCGGTGGCGAGTTTCCTTGCCCCATGCATCGTGCTGAGCATGTCAAATGGCAAGCTTTCAGAAGGCTGGTAGGCGGTGTCGAGCTCGACAGTCATTTGCGTGCGCAAGTCTTGCCATGGACGCAGATGCGAGGTGCCGATCTGTGGCAAACTGCTTGATCCCCTGCCTCCCTGACGAGGCAGTCGTTTCGGAGTGTCGATTCCCTCTGCAACTAGTTACTTAGCTGGCTCGCACCAGGAGTTCCTCGACTCCGGGGATGCATCTTGGCAACCGGAGGTGGGCACTCTGAACGGTCCGAAGTGTTCCTGGTGGAGTACTTCCAGTTGGAGCTTGGCATCGAAGCCTTGCAGAAGCATTTCTTGCCAGGTCACGCACTCAGCCTCGGCTCCCAGCCGAGTGCGGCCGCCACTTCCCGCCTTGCAGTCTGCTCTGCGTGCATGCACGCGACGGGCGAGCAGGGCAGAAGCGGAGGCGTGTGGACGGAAGAAGGTGCTTTGTGGTCGTACTGACCCTGCCAGTGGGCTTTTGAGAAGCAGGCTAGCTTCGAGCAGAATGAAGGCCAGCTCGACGACAGCCAAGGCTGGCATCCGTTTCCTTTCATTTCTCTCTGTCGTCTGGGAACGTAAGCATGTCGTCCAACAACTTGTGGCATGACCTTTTCGACTCTGTCGTTATGTCAGGAGCAGCGCTGTCCGTGCCGTTGCTTCGCGCAGCTGCCGCGGAGCTGCGGGCAGCAGCAGCTCTGCCCGGGATCCTGCGATGCCTGTGATGCCGCATGACGCTGCGAGATGCAGAGCATTGCAGGGCTGTCGTCTTGAGGTTCCCCTTGCAGCTGATGGACGAAGGGCCCCCTACGCCGCTCTACGCGGCGCTCTTCAGGTCGGCCGCTGTGCTGAGGCGACACCAAGGGCTCCGACCAGAGCTTTGCGGCAGCTTGCGGCAGCTTGCGGGCACCTGTGGAATTCTGTGCAGGTCCGGTGCTGCAACGGTGGCGCCAAAGCTCGAGGCCTGGCTGAGTGCGAGATGGCATCACCGGCTGATACGCTTCACGACGCTTGTCTCGGCAAATGCCGAACCAGCACATGTCTTATCCAGCATACTGACCTGTCCGTCCGAATTCCAATAACCTTGAGTGGGGTTCCAGGCGGCATCGTCCCCAAGCCAATCTGTGGACTTTCTGACAACACAACGGGCCAAAGAGAGCCCCCGGGAGAGCACTCTGCAACAGTCTGATTTGAATCACAGCCGTCAGCGACTGTAAGCAACACAGGGGGTGAGGGGACCTTTCGTTCAAAGTGCTGCCAGGACAACGGTTGGCAGTCCAAGGCCCCGACGCCAAGTCAGCTGCTAGAATGACTGCACCTCACGTCATCAACCCGACATCACAGATGTGATCGTGCTTTATACCTATCACAGACTATATGGAGTACATATTACAGTATTAAGCTATGTTGTGTGCTATGCGAAAGAGTTGTTATGAATGGCATACAACGAGCCAAAGTATGTGTGACATGTCATGTTTGGTATATACATGCACATACACATGCACACCATTCTTTGAAGTATTGCTGCTTCTGTTTGGTTCTGTTGTGTTCGATAATGAAACCGTCTAGTAGTTGATGCATCGGGTCGCATGATACGATGTTGTATCTCATCATATCATACCATGCTGTGTGGCTGTATGGTGTTGATCATGCCATGTTGATGCATTGTATAACAACAGTTTTGTCATATTAGGTAAGTCTGTACATATTGTGAGCGAAACACTGTATATCAAGTCTGTATACAGTACACTAGTTTACAGTAATGTACATATATATATATATCACGGATACATATGTCAGATGTTAACTTACATGCAATGTGTTATGTCATTCTGAGCTGCTTATAAAATAAGCACTTTATCATGCTTGAACTATCGTAACGTAATGTCAGGTCATGTATTTAATAGAAATTTGTGCAAATTATGCGGTTTCTAAAACAATGCAGTTTCGACATATTGTGCTTCGTAGTATTAATCCTAGCTGGTCTTGTCTTATCCAGCCTTGCGCTATGTTGTGCCACGCTGTTATGTCGTGCTTTGTTGCATTATATGACGTTTCGTTCTATTGCATTGTAGTATGTGATCTTATGTTATGGTAGACTCCTGCATGCCATATTATACTATTTTACCGTCGCGTAGTAAACCATAGTATAGTATAGCGCGGGATAGTATAGCGTAGTAAAGCACGGTATAACATAGTTTTACGTTTTTTTGGCATAGCACAGCAGAGTGTAGCATAGTAGTGGTATAGCATATGAAAGCATAGTACAGTGCCTTTGCTGGATACGAAATGCCAGCCCCCCAGTGTGGGCACTCTTCATGTCTTACCTTCCTTTCACATTTCCCAGCTCCCGAATCGTTGCCTAGCACATCCCAGTATAGTCTGGAAATGTATCGTCTAGTTTCGTATATAGTATAGTATAGCATGTATAGTGCAGTATAGTATAGCATAGTATGGTATCGTAGAGAATCGTATAGTTTCGCATAGCATGGCATAGAACAGTAGATTATGGCCCGGTACAGTAACGTAGTATAGAAACATATTCTAAGGTATAGTAACGTATATTCTGGTATAGCATGTTGTTGTATAGTATAGTATAGCATAGTATAGTATAGTACAACATCTTATATTGATTTATATTGTAGTAGAGCATAGTACCGTATAGACATGTGTAGTATTGTATAGTACAATATAGTATAGCGTAGTATAGTATAGGAAAAATACATTACTGCTTTTTATACACACACACACACACACGGAAGCGAGCATGCATGAATCTGGTACGTGTTGGTGTTCGTATCGGTCACACGTAGAAACAGCAGCTTCTGGCCCTTCAGCCAGTTTCAGCGTACTTACTGCGAGGTTCTCGGTTGGTTGTCTTGGCCACGGGAACCGTGGTTGCTGGACTTGAAGGCCTGCGACAGTGTGCAAGAGTTCGGCGATTTCATTCGCAAGTCACAGCATCTCAGCATCATCCGGCGCAATCTGTGGTCTGACTTGTGTCGGTGCTTGATTGTTTGACTTTGAGCATTTCCTAGCCTGGGGTACACGGCTGCAAGAACAGAGCAAAGGCAGAGAAGGCAGTCTTGTGCAGTCATGTTTCTCAAATTACGACATGCTTTGCAGTCTGGCTGTAGCTTCGCAACTCCTGGTTGGGCACAGAGGTGGTCTGTTCTAATCTGGAATCTAGAATCTAATCACTGATAACGATTGGCCCACGAAATCTACAAAGCCAATGTCATGACGGCTGGCAGCCCCAGCGCGAATGGCACGTTGCAAACGGGGGCCACGGAAGCTGGAGCCGCACGAAGAATGCGTTAGTATTTACACGTTATGCTGCATTGGTAGCAGCTTTCTGACGGTTTTGAGTGTTTGCAAGCCAGCCGTTAGCAGCACTTGCCATCCGGATTGAGGTGTTCTGTCGTCTGCTGCTGGATGGAGAGGTCAAAGCTACGGAAGCAATGGTGGACGCTTTGCGCAGACAAGTCGGAGCTGACATTCAGCTTCTTCATGTACATTTGCTATGCTAAGCTGCAAGTGTGACCAGGTTCATACCGGCATGCATCTGACCGTGGTAGCCTGCCCAGCTTCGCCAGCGGCCCAGTTTGACGCTGTAACAACACAAGTTTGCCGAAGCTGACAGTAGTAGCTGCGAGCATCCGCACAAAGTCTCCCGCAACCGAATCCTGACCTACGAGCCAGAGAAAGTTGAGCACACTCCGGTTCAGCAGAGTTGATCCACTTTCCGGTGTCCTTAAAGCTTGTCAGATCCCGAGCTCCTGATCAGGCTTGGTGAGGACGCGCAGAGTGTGCGGCTTCAAGGCCTGCGCACATGTGGGTGTGAGTCACTCGCGTGGGCACAGCCTTGTGTGTGTGTGTGTGTATGTCTGTATGTATATGTATATGTATATGTATTTGTATATATATACATATATATATATATATCATATAGGTATGTATACATATTGTGATTTGCCCGCGACCATCCTGCATGTACGCCTGGCATGCTGTTAGGCATCTTGGCAAATTCGTTTCTTATCGCAGCTTGACTCACAGATAGATAGATAGATAGATAGATAGATAGGTAGATAGACAGCAAGTTAGATAGAAA